ACGTGTCCCTTAATAACCAATCACAATACAGCCTTGACATAACTGAATTTCAGTCAGAGTTGTACGACACTCAATCACCGTTTACGGATCCCATAGGAATGAATGAGAAGTGCCGTAAGCTGAATCCCACCTGTCGCAAAAAGTCAGTGACTTCTCTTATAAAACGGCATTTTTTTCGTGGTAAACTCTAAAAATAGTACAATCCAAAAGTAGTGTATAGTGTAAAACATGTTGAAAGATTAGCAGATAGGCTGTCGATTCATTAAATGATAAGCCATTTCCTCTAAAAAAGCTGTTTATTCATCGTAGTGAAGCCTCTCCTCCATTGACGTCCATTAAAAAAAATGGCCTCTGGTCTCCTTTCCCTTGTACTGCCAGACCGGAAGCGTTAGCTTTAGCCGTTACGCTTTTTCGGCTAATGGCATAAATTCTCAAGAGAACGTCTCTGAATTAACTGATGCTCGCGCCCCCCTTGACAGGTGCTGGCGCCCCCCTGGGGGGGCACGCCCCACAGGTTGAAAACCCCTGGTGTAGATTGGCAAGCATATATACAAATCATTTAGTAAGCAGAAATCCGAAACTTACCTCTTAACATATTAAGTTAGAGGAAGATGCGACTGAATTGATGCTTGAATAATGCACTTCCAGCAGCCATGATAAACAGTTGGCGGTTAAAGTTTTCTATGCACAATTTGATTTGACGAAAGTCACGAGACCTATTACTCTCTATCCAATCACGTTGAAGGATAAAAATAAGATTAAAATAAGCATGTAACGACCACAAACGGAGGAAAATAGCGGCGTAAAAGTATCGATTACATCACTTAAAATGTACTCAAGTAAAAGTAAAAGTACACAATTTTTAAACTACTCAAAAAAGTACAATTACTGATAAAAACTACTTAATTACTGTAACGTGAGTATTTGTAATTCGTTACTTCACACCCCTGTTTACAATACAACCGGAGCACATGCCACTGAGGTAATGGGCGGGACGTTTAGAGGCGGTTTAGCCAATCACAACACACTGGACCAGCTAACAATTCAGAGCCCATCGCCTATTTCTGAGGGAGGGGCTTCATAAAAGCAGGAAATGATCAGCGTGTTTAGAGGAGAAGGGACAGAGCGGTGTGGAATAAAGGTCAAATATGTGAAAAATAATGCGTTTTTTTTTTTTTTCAAACGAAGCAGTAACACATGTTAGTTTGCACCCCATAAACACAATCAAGCCTAGAAAAAAAACAGTCAACCACCCCTTTAAAATGCATAAAATAAGGTTTAACAGAGTTACCCTGGGGTAAGGTTAAATATTACGTTTTGGTACCTACGAGTTAATAATTAACAAATATTTTATACAATAAATTGAATATACAAACAAACATTTTTATGCTATACTTATTTGACATATCAAACATTTCAAGCATATCAACAGCATCTTTTTTAAATTACGGGACACCAACTATTTAGGTTTTATTGCCGAAAGGGGGCACAAATATGTATATTTCTAAATAAATAATTTCTTCTTCAAAAGAGGGGCAAGAAACTTTTCTTTACACCAGCATTACGTGTCGGTAATTCAATGTCAATAGGAAATATTATGCATGTCAAAAACAAAGACAAGATTAGTTTTGGATGCCAAGAGACCATGTGTTGAAACAGGAAGTCTGGGTTCACTAGCAAAGAATGAGTGGTGGTTCACACAGGGGGCCAAATGCAGGAAACAGAGGCAGGCTTTTCCACCAGAACACAAGGAGGTGGTTTGTTTCAGACAAGCTCCTCTAACACAAACAGGACTGAATTGCCATCAGGGACCTAGTCTATGTGGAAAAATTATGATTTTGCAAAGAAACATTATGCATGCAGGCGTGGAGAGGGCGGGATGCTGACCTTGACGATTCGACAGATGAGAACATCGTAGCGCTGGTGATTGATGCGGTGTTTTAACATCACTTTGTTCACCATAGGGATAAAGATCTGGTACTGTGAAAGAGAAATATGCAGACATATTCTTTTTCATATGAATAGTAACTTTCACAAAACAGCAAAAATCTATTATGACATTAAACAAACAACTTTATTTAAAAAGTAAAAAAAATTATATGAATATTAATGAATGAAATTAAAGCAATTACATCTAGCTTTCAAGTACGTCTCAATTAAGAAAACACTGCTTCATGTTTTTTGTTTTGTTTTTTTTTATCAGTAACAAAAGCAAAAAGAAAAAAAGTCAGTCAGATACAGCACGTGTAGCGAATTAAGTCAGTACTTAGTACTAATATTGTAGACATTAGTATCATTACTTCTTTTTATTTTAATATCAATTTGGTATAAGTACTTCTGACATTCGCTATGAGGAGCAAAACAAGCATACTGAAATGATTATTTTGATTCCATGCGGTAGAATAAAATGCTTTTGAGTGCTGGGAGTGAATGCGTGCACATGTGTGTACATGTGACTAAACCCCATCAACTAGTAAGTACACAAATAAAGTGTTGCTCCTCTAAACACAGGAAACTGAAGATTGTGGCCTGCAGTGATCAAAGGAATCAGAACTTGTGTCTGGTGCTCATGATGGCCACATGTTGAGTGGTAATTCTAAGAGGGTTTTAGGAGGAATGGTAAAAGCAATGACCTCATCCCTCTCTCTGATTGGAAGCCTTTTTGTGCATTAGAGAGACACTAGGAAATCATTAGACGGTTACTCCAGAACACAAGTTCATGACATAAAATTATGGGAATTATTTTCAAAAAGCTATTAAACTATTTTGACTAAACTTTCAGATCGTACTACAAGATTTAAACTAGGCTTTGAGCTTGTACCTTTTTGCCAAGTTGAAAGACCAGTGAGGACAGTGTGTCCATGGATGTGTTTCGCAGCTCTGGAGTAACGTCGAGAGTGCGCACAATGGGGTGAATAATTCTGGAGGCATAATCCGTGAAGTCCAATGACTCAGTCAGGCGATCTAAAGTCTCCAAGGCAACCCTAAACGTGAATAAAACATGTATTGGTGACAGTAGACTGATAATATTGGCCAGTTCTTACAGAACTTCTTATAGATTTTTTTTTCTCCACTTTTTTAGTGTTAATTTTATTGCTAATATAATTATTTGGCTTTGGTATATTAATACCTTTCAAAAAACATTTGAATCAGAAGAGTAGACACAGTCTGACTGTATTTACTGAGTTTCCCAAGAAACACATCTGCACAGCCAACAAACTCAAACACATTAATAAAATACAATCCATGTATACCTTTCTCTTCAAAATTCTTTCTTAAACTCAGCTCAACGGTTTATCAGTAAAACAATAGGGATCAAACGCAGATTCTTGTCTGTTAAAAAGGTTTCGCTGAGAGTAATGACAGAGTAACAGCTGGCCAAAGCCGCTGTTAATGTGATCCTGTCTTCATAGAGTCTGGGGTTACCTGTTCACATCCATCTTTACCACTGCTGCGAAAACAATTTCACTACCTCTACTGACCTACGCTTACTCTTCAAGTAAATGTGAACTCAAAATTGAACCTATTTACTTTAATATGTTCTTGATTTCATTGTTCCTCAGTTGTTCATTCACATTATTCCAAAAACAAACAAACAAACAATCTCTGAAACAATTTTTATGAATGGAAAAACAAAATTCCCTTTTCGACTGCTAATAAACACTAACAGAAAATTAAAGTGCTATGAAATGTATATTTTGCTATTTTGTGTATATCATACTGAATTGTTTCAGAAATTAAAACAAAATCTAACATAAGACAGACAAAGGCAACCTAAGAACACACAAAATACAGTTTAAAATGATATAAATATTTATTGCAAAAAAGTGATCTAATACCAACTGGACCTGGGTGAAAATGTATTTGCAGAATCTGTTAAGCTGGACTAGACCAGACCTGACTATTGCCAGTCCTGTTCATTATCTTCAATTGGAAAAAAACCCGGCACAGTAGCAAACCTTCCCAGAAGTGACTGACCTTCCAAAATTCCTCCAAGAGCACAACGATGACTCATCCAGGAAGTCACAAAAGACAACATGGAAAGAACTGCAGGCCTCTCTTGCATCAATTAAAGTCACTGTTCATTATGGCTCATCTGAATTTTGCCAAAACATACCTTGATGACCTCAAACGATTTGGGAGAATGTATGGTGGTGGCAGTGTGCTGATGAGGGGAAGCTTTGCTGGTTTAGGGCCTGTGTAACTTGCAATAATTGAGGGAAACATGGATTCTGCTCTCTATCAGAAAATCCTAAAAGAGCATGCAATCAAGACAATGCAGCAAGACAAAGATTCAAAGTATTGGAGTACGTCCACTTCTGAATGGCTCAAAAAAAGCAAAAATAAAGTTTTGGAGTGACCTAGTCAAAGTCATGACCAATTAAACCCAATAGTGATGCTATGGCAGGACCTTAAACAGGCAGTTCATGCTGAAAAATCCCTCCAATGAGACCAAACTAAAGCAGTTCTGTAAAGAAGAGTGGGACAAAATTCTGCCACAGCGCTGTGAAAGACTGATCGGAAGTGTTTGACTGCAGCTAATGCTGCTAAAGGTGGCTCAAACAGATTTAAAGTTTAAGGAGGCAATTAGTTTTTTCACATAGGTGATAGGTGTTGGCTAACTTTTTGAAAAAAAAAAACCAATACATTAAAAAAAAACTATGTTGTATTTCATTATAAAGATCTATAACAATTTAATATGAAATATACAGAAAAAAACAGAAGAAATTAGGATTGGGTCAAATACATTTTCACAGCACTGTAAATATTTAGGCTTTATTTCAGAAAGCTGTTTCATTCAAGTGTGGCTCCATTCTGATAAGGAACAGCTATTTTCACCATCCAATCAATTCCTTAAGAAATAAAAGCAACCCGTCACCTTACATTCTCTTTCTGAATTAATATATCCTGTTTTACTTGTAATATTACAGCAATAAAATAGGTTGTGAGTGGTGATTTATGTTGACTTCAAGCAAAAGCTATATAGTCAAAAATACTCTTTTATAAGAAGTATAGAGTATTAAGTAAAAACTGTCATCCATCCATCATACCAAGTACTTCAGCTATACACAGTTAATGTTTACTTTCGCTACTTCACTGGTTTGAATAACACTTGTTTTAAAGGAAATGTATTTCTTAGGGAGCTTGAGCAGAGCAGAAGATTTTCATACTGACTTGCGGGCCTGCAGGGGGACATCAGGGGCATCGAACAGTTTCACTACGGGTGGCAGCAGTAGGTGGAGGTAGTCATCCAGGTTAGCTCCAAACAGCTGGATGGCCATGAGCAGCTAGGAGACATAAGGAAGAAGTTTGCCTGAAAACTGTGAAAGTGGTGCATCAAGAAAAACAGTACATCTCTGCCAAAACCTGTTAAATGAATCAGAGCCATTGCATAGCAACGGGCACACAGTGACCCACAGTATATAAATACATAATAGAAAATTGATTTATAGTTGAGTTATTGAAAAAAATATCACATTTTTGAAGAGTCATGCACATAGCAATGAACACATTAATCATAAAAATAAAAAAAAACTCATCTTCTTGGCCTCCTTTTATTATTAAAGCTGAACAAAAATAAAGATACCCAAAGTGACTGAGAAAAGGGGAATACATCTAAAGCATGTAGATGTTTCATCTTTGCTTCCTTCTCCTGAACAGTTATCATCTCTTGATGTTAACCGTGCTACTGATACTTTCTGCTCCACTCTTACGTCTTGTTTAGACACTGTCTGCCCCTTGTCTTTCAGGCCATCTCGTACCACCTCTTCTGCCCCTTGGCTATCTGATGTTCTGATGAGTATCGTTCTAAGCTCAGAGCTGCAGAAAGAGTATGGCGCAAAAAAAAAAAAACAAAAAAAAAAAAACACTAGCTTTCTATTTTTTCTATTCTGTCAACTTGTTTTTCTTTGTTTGTGTGTGTGTGTATATGTGTGTGTGTGTGTATAATATATATATATATATATATATACACCTTGCTACGTGTACTGCGTTAGGCTAACCGAGACTTGTCATTTGCACTTATATATTGTTGCTCTTTTGTTAGTTTTGACTGCTTTTATTGTCCTCATTTGTAAGTCACTTTGGATAAAAGCGTCTGCTAAATGACTAAATGTAAATGTAAATGTAAAGCTAAAAGAAAAGGTTGAAAGCATTAGAAACAAAAAAAATGCAGTGAGTGAGGTTTAGTGGAGGGCTAGTCACAGACCCCACACAACTTAACAAACTTGGCTCAACAAACTTGGCTAACAAACGCCTAACAAACTTGGCTTATTTTCTCCTTTGCAGTAAATTTATAAAGTGACTGGAATGCTACAATGCAAAAAAAAATAAAATAATGATATATAAATAAATAAACAAACTTCAATAGTACTTAAAAACAGACTTCCTTTATGCAAAAAATAATTCGTATTATTTTTATATGAAATGTGACAAGAATATTTTTTCAACTGCGATCAATAATACAAAATGACAAAAAAAAGAAAGAAAAAAAAAACGTAGAGAAATATTGCTACGAGGTGGCCACTTAAACGTATTTGTTTTAGATGCTCTGGGGAAGCACAGTCAAAATCTAGACAGAGCAGCTCACGTGAATGACTGAGCTTTTGTTTTCTTATCTGTCCTGCAACAACTGGCAGGCAGTTTAAGAGCTCCTTCAGGGTGAGCTCAGTGCTCCCACTGACGCAGACGGTGGTTATGGGCTCTCCAGAGAGAGAGGACTCATGTGGATGTAGGGCTGAATTACTTGAGTGGGATATGTGGGTTTGGCCAGTAGCTACACACATCTGTCAGGGGCTGAAGACTGGCGGAGAAGACGTCTAATGATTGAGGAGCTCTGGGAAGACTTTCTTTTGAAGTGTGAAGGAGGATTTTCACAGGTCACAGTCTGGCCAGGAACACACACACACACACATATATATATATATATATATAAAATGTTTTTTTTTAATAATTAATAATAAACTGTTGTCCAGGGCAACCGATTTTCTATACTCATACAGTATCATTCAACTCTCTACGCATCCAATTCACACGAATGGGCCACCACAGATAGATTACATAGACATAGACACAAAATGCAAAACTTCAGAGGATTTAACAGCTGGATTTGTTAATGTTTGCAAGGTTCATGGAATTCATTATTTATTATATATTCAAACACTCATTTAAATTAAATGCATATAATGAGTGTGTATGAGAAAGATTTTGCCTTTTGATTACTAATAACAAAAAGACAAATGCTATATTAGTTTTTTATATTTGTTTAGTCTGTGAATATTCACTAGTCTGTGAATGCAAAAAAGAATGCATGCTAAAACTGTTCTGAAATACAGATCATCAGATGACCTAAATTCAGACAGAAGATGGTCATCAGAGGAGCGCGTAAGAAGCTTTTATATGAGATGAGATCATCTGACACCCGAAGGTGAACTCAGCACATACTAAAATAATGTGAAACAGGTGACACAGACAGCAGGCATGAGATTCTTTCACACATTGAATCTGGTAAATTGCCGTAAAATATCCAGATCAACGTTTCCGGTAAAAACACATATGTGACCCTGGAGCACAAAACCAGTCTTAAGTCGCTGGGGTATATTTGTAGCAATAGCCAAAAATACATTGTATGGGTCAAAATTATAGATTTTTCTTTTATGCCAAAAATCATTAGGATATTAAGTAAAGATCATGTTCCATGAAGATATTTTGTAAATTTCCTGCCATAAATATATCAAAACTTCATTTTTGATCAGTAATATGCATTGCTAAGAACTTCATTTGGGCAACTGTAAAGGCGATTTTGATTTTTTTTTGCACCCTCAGATTCCAGATTTTCAAATAGTTGTATCTCAGCCAAATATTGTCCTATCCTAACAATTATTTATTCAGCTTCTATGTGATGTATAAATCTCAATTTCGAAAAAATTGACACTTAAGACTTGTTTTGTGGTCCAGGGTCACAAATGTGCTATTCGCACAAGCAACAGTGTTTTATCTTTTTACTGCTAAAATACCATTCACACATTATAACCAAAATATTGGTAAACTCTGTGATGTCCATCAACAGAAATTACCTTTAAACACTGTGCCGTTTTCTTCATACACCCGGATGAGGAGAAGTGCTTTAGTTTTTTTACTTGTGAGTGACAGATATAAGGGGCTGATCTCACAGACTGCATTTTTGCTTTTAAAAATGAGAGATGCTGCTCAACAGTATTCAACACAGAGCCGCTGAAGAATGGAAAAGAAGACTGGGTCTCGAGATGTGACTCATCTCACAGCGAGACACAGTGCAGTGGTCAAAGATGCCCATCTAGGATATGTTAATTTAGAAAAACAATTAAAATTATTACTGTAAACAGCACTGTAATCTCCTCAGCTCTTGGTAAAACTTTATGATTGGCCAAAAGCAAAATTAAGTGAACTCATCCAGACCTCGTATACACTCACATCAGTTGTTCACACATAGCATCATAATGGTAATTTACTGATAATGTTACAAGTTATAGTCCCAGAAAACTGCCAGAACTGACTTACTGGTATTTTTCTAAAGGTCCTGTTCACACATGATCTCTTATTGTAATTTACAAATGAAACTCCATTCACTAGAATCTCTGGATACCTAGTCTGAATTTCATGAATCATAACAACACCTATTTATGCTGCTTACGTCACAGACAGTTCAGTAAGTCTGACAGACAGACAACAACAAGGCTTATCAGCGCACCGATCTGGGGGCCATTCTTCGTACGTCGCTAACTCAGTTAGTTGGATTTGATTGTTGACGATTTCACCTGATCTTGGATTGTTTGGTTCTTCGAAGCTCATCCCAGAGTTGCTGTCATAGCAACAGGTCCGTAAACTTAAACCTGCTCGGGAGCAGGCTTATTTCATGTAATCAGGATTAGATCGCATCTTTTTAAGCAAAATTGATACTTAAAATCTGTCCTCTACCACTGCTACTTTATTACAAGAGTACCCTACTAATCCAGGAACAATAATTAAAAAATAATAATAATTAAAAAATTTATTTAAAGATAATATAATAATGTTGTGTAGTCTATAGGCTATAGTATATTTCAATGAGTAAAACTGGCTGTGTCTATATATAGACACAGGCACTTTTACTCATTGAAATATTTAAATTTAAATAAAAGAAAAACAGTGCACATTTCATTTATCTATTATAACATTTATGTAGTTTTGTTCGCTTGGCTGTTTCCTTATAAAAGTCCAAAAATTTGTCAAGTTTTTCTTCAGGTGTCTTTTTTAAATATATGATGTCATTACGTTGCTGTCTTGCCGCCAGCCAATCGCTGCATTGCTGATCGTGGTTTCGAGCATCGATACATAACCCCTTTTAAACCAACCCATGAACGCACAATTATCTATCTCGGATGTAATAAGCAACGTACGAAGAACGGGCCTCTGATTGGCTATTTGCGTTGTCACTTCTTTATCTCTTGTAAAATCAATTTGATTCAAGGAGTCACAATGCAGTTTCAAAATGATTCTAAATGCATCTAAATTTTTCAGCAACAGCTTCATGGACAATTCTTTGCCGAGTTCGAACAGCTCCGTGAAGCTCCATCAGAACAATCGATCAAAACATTAACAAAATTCATTATCAATTCATTTTCAAGCTGTGCAGTGCAACCTTCATTAGTGACTTGACTGAAATAGCTAAAGGTAGGGTAGGCCATTTTGGAAAGGCTAGCAACAGCAAGTTAGCTTTGAAAGCAAGATCCCACCCTCCCTGCATAATCACTCTGCAAAGCCACGCCTCTTCCAAAACGTGCACAGGCAGACCAGAGGCTAATCAGTGACACGATGAGATGGTGTTGGTGGAGGGCTGAATGCAACATTGTCAGATTACCTCATGTCTCATTCACCGGTGAGAAAACATTACAGTACAAAGCACATAATATTACAATAACAACAACGCCTTCCATTCTCGTTCGGTCTGCAATAGTGTAATGAACACGCTGATGACAGGGTGTGCAGTAGGGCTGTCAAAATGGCTGAAAAACTAAATTCTAATTTTGTACTTAAAGGCACAATATTTTGTTAATATTAAAAGTTATATATTTTGCTGACTTGTGTACTTACATTATCCCAAATGTTTCGAAGAATGTTTAAATCCAGAGAAATAAGCAATTTTAACTAGTGACACGGACCGTGTCCATAGTGTCATTGTGTCGCCTGCCAATGACGTCATAACCCCTCGATTTTAGAAAACATGGAAACACCAAAGACGCTTATATGTTGTGCGTTTTAATAGACCGGTGACGACCGCACAGAGTAGCATTATAACAGAACTTTCAAATGTATCTAGTATGATAAAACAGCGCTGCTTTTTTCCCCCACATACGCACGACCGGAAGCAGCGGAAGCGGTCGACTGTGGCATAATAAAAGCTCCGCTGCCTTCTAGCCGTGTGTCACGCTCGTTCAGCGTTTTCGTTTCGTTACGTTAATAAATTATTAGCTCATCCATGAACATGATTTCTGCTTGAGTCTCGTCGGATTGCATCGGCTGTGGGGATGAAGACGACAACTCCCATGATTCCATACTCAGTCACGGCTTCATCAAACTACGCCTTTGTCTCTTTGTTTATTTTGAATACGCGCCCTCTAGCGGCGAAAATTACATATTGTGCATTTAAATATTATCAAAATTCTAATTATATTCGCATTTATAATGCATAATTTCACTTAGGGTGAAGAAAAGCTTTTGGCTTCTCTCCTGAGGCCACAAGAGGGCGCATCGAGCAAAATATTACTAATGCACGTTTATTCAAAGCATAAGAAAACATGACTATCTGTGAAAAAAGTGCATAATGTTTAAAATAATGTTTATAAACCAATTATAATTAATTAAGTTGCTTAAACAACTCTCGGACCGAGGAATATGATTGGACAAACATTTTATGGTCCTACGCATTTCACAGACGATATACATATAAATACATTTTGACCACTTAACTTAGTGATTGCTATTGGGATGTGAAGAGACTTTCAACCAGCTTAAAAAATGTTTTTGAACCAAATCACCCACCCTGCCTTTAAAGTAGAAGCGAAACATAAGTTGCTCAAAACACTGTGCTGCTAAATGTGATTAAGGTGTTTTCCACAAGGATACAAAAAGTGTTTGAGACTACTGTTTACTGTCGTTATAATGTATTTCCATTTTGCAAAACAGCCCATCTCAACATTAAGTCAGTGATAAAAATGCCTTTGTCATTGTTGAAGTTGTACTCAATAAGTTTGCGTACATGAAACCGGCTCTCATTCTTCCCTGTAGTACCAGTGGTATTTGAGCCTGTACTGACGCCTGTTACCCTAGATGCATGAAGTTTATTTAATTACTGCTGCTTCACACCGAAGTTGTTTATTTTTCTTTTATTCCATTCTTTTTCAACTTTGTTTTCCTCTGTTTCCTACAGACATTTATATTATCTTGGATTCAATTTCAGTTACATTTCATACATTGTTGGTGGTTCATGATGGCTGTTGCATTTGACCAGTCTGCAGTGAGTTTTAAGTGTTAGAAGTGCTACTTTAACACTCATATCCGAGTGTGCGTATACCTTGATAGTGACGCTACGTCCAGGGCTGTTATCGTGCATGAAGACCCGCAGCATATGTGGGATGAGCTGTGGCAGATAGAGTTTGAATTCTCCGCCTAGAGCCACCACAATCTGCTCGATCAGCAAAATAATGGTGTTCTGCATGGGGTTGTTTGGAGTCCAGTATTCCTGCAGAAGAGAAAACACAGTATCCCAGTGTTCCTTACATGACCAAGATCCACTCCATCTGTTATATATACTTTATTAAACAACTACTCAGTGGAGACATTATGCGCATCACCAGTTCACTGGCTCATTACGGTTTAGGAAGCAAGTTATCCAAGTTATCGATTTAGTTGTCTGACTAATCCAGTCCATGATTTAGACTGATGATTCTGCCTCCAATCGGTTCAACAGATTCATTAAAAAGAACTGTCTGAATCAAGTGATTCATTTGCGAATTGACACAATGTTAATTTTAGCATTCATTCAACAAAGTGCAATAGAAAATTGTGCAGAATATGTCAATATATTGCTGCATATAATAATATGTTATTATACTGTTATTATCTTATTTTGCAGCACCCAGGCTTTCTCTGTCATTACATACAACAAACAAATTCACTAACTAATTAAAGTTAAAGTTAAGTTAATTACCAAATAACAGTAACAAATAATTCAATAAATATATATTTTAGTGTTATGGCACCGCAAGTTCAACGGTGGTGCTAAATAGCAGCGGAAAAAAAAAAGTAGAATTGGGAGTAGTGATGATGCAAGTGTAAAGAGTGAATTAAGCACCTTCATAAAAGCAGCCAATATGCTCTACTGGTTGAGTACTAAGAGAGCCACAAATGGACAAAGTGTCAAAGACACTAGGTCCTGCCATCAGTTTTATATGGGCTTTGAAGTACCCGTTTCAGGCTGCAGGGCGACAGCAGGGGTCAAAACAAAAGAAACAAGTCTTTGTCTAGTCCACTCAATGGGACTAACACGCCCTGAATTTTAGCACAAAAGAACTGCACAGAAACGATGATGAGAAAAGACAAAAACATTTTTAACAAGCATTTTTAAGGGTATCAAGTGCACTGTGACGAGAGGGGCGGGGCCGAGAGCCGTGGGAACGGAGCGAGGCTGGTGGAGTAATGCACATTTTTGTTTTTGGGGCCTAATACTTTGTTTTAGAGGAGAATCAAGAAGATGTGTGAACAAGTCTCTCACCCGGATCAGTGTGAAGATGTCATCCATGTACGGCCGGATGTGGATCTTGACGAAGCACACAACCATGCCCATCTGCTGGAAAAGGAACTGAAGAAAAAAGATGAAAATAAGAGAGACGCAAAGGGATGACAGGAGAGGTACAACCAAAACTTAAAAAATCAGAAATACTGTACAATTTACGATTTAACTTTACCGTCAGACGAAGTCTGAAATTTATCTTGCGGTACAGTAGGTTCACTCACAATTACAAGTACATAAAACTTGATTCGATGTTAGGTTCAAGTTAAACAAATATTCCAGGTTGTCACGATCTCTAGCTGGAGTGCCCATGAGCTCCGCTAGAGGGCACCCCATCCTGTACCCTTTACCACTCACCCCGGACTCTATTTCCCATAATCCTCTGCCTGGACACATCATCAATTGCAATCACCTGTCTTTCATCAGATCTCATAGTCAGTTTACAGCTGTCTCACATTAGAAGGACTTTAAAAGTACCACACACACGCTCTGACTTTGCTGGTGATTGAATGTTTGTACGTTTTCCTAGTTTCCCGTGAGTTCCTTGTTTTTCCAAGTTTCCTAGTTTTGCCTTGCCTTAGTGTTTTGATCGTGGACAGTTTCCTTGACTCTGATTGTTTGCTACCTGCCTGTACCTTCGCCTGTTCCATGGATTACTCTTTTGCCATTGCCTTGGATGTGATTGTTTGCTGATGTTTGACCCTGCCTGTTTCGACCACGCTCTCTTTTAATAAAGCCTGCAATTGGATCCCCACTCCGTTGTCGCCTCCATCGTTACACGGGTATAGAATTTTTATTTTTAATATAAAATTCTATAATTTTACAAAATCAAAATTAAATCAACTGTTCAAATAATAAATACAATTTTCAAAATGGCAGCTCAAATGATGAATCAAATGTTAAATGGAATTTTATTTTCTAATTTGATGAAGCACTAACTAGAACAAAAATTAAATGAAATACAGTGTTTGTGTTTGATATTTAATTGATCAATCTAGTGTTCAAATGATAAATCAACTGTTTAAAATAAAACAAATTACAAATAAATTGCTCAAATGGACAATGCACAGGGACCAAAGTGGCTGGACCAGGCCCCCTCGGGGCGCCAACACAAGTTAGGAAGACCATCTCACAATATTCCCATGTAGACCACGTTCTTAATTAATCCTGTAGAATCTAGTGACTTATTCCACTTAGACTACTTCACACTTGCTTCCTTATATTGAGTCTACTGGAGCTTGACACAAAGCTAATATGATGATTTAATGAAATTCAAGGTTTGAGAAATTTTACTGTACCAATTATTTATAGACCCTAGAACTTAACATAAAACTAACAAGCCTGCATTCTTTTGAGAAATCTTGTAAAACGCGGCTCATAAGAGTTGTTTGTTTGTGAACTGGACAACACTGGTTGCACTTTGTTTTTGATTAATTATGATGAATGTTGTTACGTCTCGGGTCCAGGAGAATAGCGTAAATAAAGGTCTTTACACCGGACTGCTTGTATTCTTTCTTTTTATTTATTATTATTTTTTATTTTTATGTTCAATAGACACCATCAGCACACAACATCAAAAAGGAAGCAAATGGGCTTCAGGGTTGGGCCAAGGACAAAATACCAAACAAAACTGAATCTACCTTTTCCAGAAGAAAACTTACTACCCTAAAAAAAGAAAAAGTCTAAACAAAAATACAGGGACTGAATAGGAAAGTAAATTAATGGTTAATGGTGGGGAATGTTAGAAGTGATAATGCACTAATTACAAGAAAGTTTCACTAGCTGCACAAAACATCATGGTATGCAGTTAAAAAACAGCAGTAGAAACTGACTTCTGAAGCAGCAAAGCAGGTAAAATATTGATCCTCAGAAGTTGTTATATGCAACCAGCCTAGCCAACCATACCATGACCATGTTTGATTGAGTGACTTGTCTTTTGTGATGTCAATTTGAGCATTTGATTTATCATTTGAGAACTGATTAAATGTTTAATTTTGACAGGTTTATACTGAATTGATAATGAAAATGAAATATCAAAACTAATTAGATATTAAAGTTTCACAAGATAAACTTTGTTGTTGGTTTGACAAAGCCAAAACTTTAAATAGTCTGAAAAAAGAAAGTCAGAGAAAGAGCAGTAAAAATGCAACCATGTTGTAAGGCATTGCTAGCATGATGTAGAATTTTGGTAGCTTGTTTTTAACAAGTTAAGCAGGTTGCTGGTGTTTTAGCGTTTACCTAAGCATGATGATAGTCATGTACGCTAAGTGTGATGACTCGTGTTTTTAATACGAGTTCCATTTTTAAAAGTTGCTTTGTGTATTCCAGGCTTAAGTGAAAACAACCTCAAGGTATGACTTGAGTTTAGTAGATATAGGAGTTAAATTAGAATAAATAAATAAGAATAAGTTTAAACAGCAATCTTTGCCAACTCAACATAACGTTTCATTTTATTTTTGTTGCAGTTTATGCTTCTCCAAATGAGGAAATGAAATTGCATTTAAGCATTTAATTTATTTGAGAAGCTAGAAGTATTTAATTTATTATTTGATCATTTGAGCATTTGATTTTAATTTTGTTAGGACAAAAACTTCAATATCCAAGTTCAGCTCAACTGAGTTTAATTTAAACCGCTTTATCATCTGATTGTGGTTGTATCTCTCCATTAGTGCTATTGGATCTTAGCGCTGCGTTTGGCACTATTGACCACAACATTCTTTTGCATAGACTAGAAAACTTTGTTGGCATTAATGGAAGTGCATTAGCATGGTTCAAATCGTACTTATCTGACCGCCATCAATTCGTAGCAGTAAATGACCAAAGATCATGCATGATTCTACGCAGACGCTACAGTGACTTGACTTGACTTATAGCTCAAATAATACAGTGTTAACAGAAGAATTAAATACGTTTACGAAATTATCTTCACATTTCTGCATTTAAATCCTTCAAAACTAAATCACCTAAAAAAACAAAAACTAAATCACTTTCACTGTAATTGCCTCACTGTAATCTTATTAGTTTTTTTTTTTTTT